AACAACTCTATCACTTCTTTCTTCATGTTGAGCATTGTCTCACTTTGAGGATATGCGCAGCAAAATGCTCAGTTGTGCATGGGGGGCTTACAGTGGTTTTTTAAAATAACAAATGTCATAATGTAAAGTTTGGCTGAAAGGTTTAGAGTGCTATAACACCTTTCATATAGCCATTCACTTCAATGGCTCGCCACACTCCCTCCTGCCCCACAAAAAAAGTGAGCCGGCCACAGTGCGATGCAGTGCGTTCTGGCCAGAATCGGGGTGGAACGCACTGCAACTGGTATGAATGAGCCCTTCAAAAAGTTAAATTCTTCTGTAGGATAAAAAAAACTAAACCTTCCCCTCCTGGTCTATGTCCTGTAACTGAACAAGGAAGAAACAAAAAACGAATTCATCACCAAAACGTTTTATTTCCTTCTTGGTGGATACATGGTTACAATTCTGTACAGAAGCTCCTGGGAAGTCAAAGTCTATTTGCAAAAAGTACAGCTCTTCAAGGACACAGTCAATGCAAAGTGACTGCAGCTTTCTGCGACTTGTAGTGTCACAGGATAGGAACCTAGAAGAGTGCTGGCAGTGGAAGAGCAAGTGGTCCATGGAGTGCCCCCCTCCCTGATCAGGGTCAGTGATCCCCTTAGGTCAGGGTGTAGAGTGCACATGCGTGTCCTGGGCTCTGTGATTGGCTATAAGAGGAGTGTGGAGCTGGAGGGAGCAGTGGGGAGGTGCAGGGAATGACAGGGATCTCTCAGTTACTCATCTGCTCTGCCTTCCCTCTAGCTGGCCACTTGCTCTCCTGCTGACAACTGGCAGCCTGCGCTGTGGGCTCTCTGCGCCGCCTAGTCCTGTGGATGGCTTGTGCCCTATGAAGACATGCTGGCAGAGACGTGGAGTTACCGGAGCCTCTATCCCCGGGCAGGACACCATGTGCGCCCTACTGCTCAGCCGGCTCTGAGGTCTCTGTGCCCGGTCTAGACCTCTGCTGCATGGTTGGCACTGGGTAGGCACAAGGTATAGACTCTGGGCACTGGATCCTAAAGACAGCAGCTGATCTGCTTCCTCCAGGAAAAACTCTTTACTTGCAGGATTACTGGCATCTAACTACTACTACTCCTACTACTGCAACTACCTCTACTACTCCTGTCCACTCAGCATCAGCAGAAGAAGTGAACTAGGAGTCTGCAAGGCTTGCGTGCAATAGGCGATCAGTGATCGGGATCTGGTGCCAGTCATGTGGGTAGAGGGCTCCCCCTTGGCACTGCTGGCTGCAGCTTCCTTCCTGATGGCGGTGCTGGCAGCTGCCCGGGGGAGCGGGGAGTACTGCCATGGATGGACGGACGCTCAGGATGTGTGGAGGGAAGGCGTCCAGTGTCCGGAAAGGTTCGATGGAGAGGATGCCACTATCTGCTGCGGGACCTGCGTGCTGCGCTACTGCTGCTCCAGCGCTGAAGCCCGGCTGGATCAGGGTGTGTGTAATAACGACAGGCAGCAGGGGGCGCCAGACAACGGCAGGTCGGATAAGGAGAGCCCGGACTCGGCAGCAGGTAGGCACAGCTGTGCCATGGGGGAGCGGGTGGCACTGACTTACCAGGGCAGGAGGGCTTCCGATGGCATGGAAGGAGAAGATGTTTAGCAGTGTCTGGGCAGAAGATCAATGGAGAATGGGTCATTACAACTGGGAAAGAATCTTCAGAACACAGCTTGCAGATGTTGCCAGTAGCCACCAATCAGAATTCAGTTTTCATTTTAGGGAGAAATGAAAGAAAAATTCTGATTGGTCACTGGGAGCAGCTATGTTCTTTATGAATCATCCCCCGTGTCACTCTATTGTAATGTCCAAGAGTCACAATACACATTACAATCTGACTGTACAACCTGGGTGGACAAAGTCTGTCCAATCCAGGAGCTAGCACCATTGACAAGTGGGCAAAATCTCCAAAGTTAGGCGCCAGCTGTAAATTTTAAGGAGCATTGGCGACCTGGATCTTAGGATTTGTCCAGCCATGCCATACAATCTTTATGCAATCAACTTTAGATTTACCAACACTATGTAATATGAAAACCTAAACCATCCAATCAAAGAGTATCCAATCAGACAGACGCTTTGTACCGTCAGATCAGATTGTAACCTGTACCTTGCACCACATTGGTAGATCTAAAGGAGATTATAGAGTCAGATTATAACCTGTACCTTGCACCATGTTTCTGGATCTAAAAGAGATTGTATACAGTTAGATTGTAACCTGTGCCTTGCGCCACATTGGTAGATCTAAAAGAGATTGTACAGCCAGATTGTAACCTGTGCCGTGCACCACGTTGGTAGATCTAAAAGAGATTGTACACTCAGATTGTAACCTGTGCCTTGCACCACGTTGGTAGATTTAAAGGAGATTTTACAGGCAGATTGTAACCTGTGCCTTGCACCACGTTGGTAGATCTAAAGGAGATTGCACAGCCAGATTGTAACCTGTGCCTTGCACCACGTTGGTAGATCTAAAGGAGATTGTACAGGCAGATTGTAACCTGTGCCTTGCACCACGTTGGTAGATCTAAAGGAGATTGCACAGCCAGATTGTAACCTGTGCCTTGCACCACGTTGGTAGATCTAAAGGAGATTGTACAGCCAGATTGTAACCTGTGCCTTGTACCTCATTGGTAGATCTAAAAGAGATTGTACACTCAGATTATAACCTGTGCTTTGCACCACATTGGTAGATGTGAAGGAGATTGTACACTCAGATTATAACCTGTGCCTTGCACCACGTTGGTAGATGTGAAGGAGATTGTACACTCAGATTGTAACCTGTGCCTTGCACCACGTTGGTAGATCTGAAGGAGATTGTACAGCCAGATTGTAACCTGTGCCGTGCACCACATTGGTAGATCTAAAAGAGATTGTACAGTCAGATTATAACCTGTGCTTTGCACGACGTTGGTAGATCTAAAAGAGATTGTACACTCAGATTATAACCTGTGCTTTGCACCACATTGGTAGATGTAAAGGAGATTGTACAGTCAGATTGTAACCTGTGCCTTGCACCACGTTGGTAGATGTCATGGAGATTGTACAGTCAGATTATAACCTGTGGCTTGCACCACGTTGGTAGATGTCATGGAGATTGTACAGTCAGATTATAACCTGTGGCTTGCACCACGTTGGTAGATGTCATGGAGATTGTACAGTCAGATTATAACCTGTGGCTTGCACCACGTTGGTAGATGTCATGGAGATTGTACAGTCAGATTATAACCTGTGGCTTGCACCACGTTGGTAGATCTAAAAGAGATTGTACACTCAGATTATAACCTGTGCCTTGCACCACATTGGTAGATCTAAAGGAGATTGTACACTCAGATTATAACCTGTGGCTTGCACCACGTTGGTAGATCTAAAAGAGATTGTACACTCAGATTATAACCTGTGCTTTGCACGTTGGTAGATGTAAAGGAGATTGTACAGATTGTAATCTGTGTCGTTTAAAATGTTCTATTCTATAATCACCAGAGCAGACATTACTGTGTGGAGCCTTCAGATCAGTAGGTCTGTTATGCTGGGACATTCTGGTAACTTTGTTGCAGTGGTAAGGACAGACTTTATTAGGCAGTTACAATGTTTCTTTTTCTGGCTGGGTGGCCATCCATCATGCTCAGGGGGTCGGTGGACAGACGTTTTTCAGGCTTTTTGCTGAATGTTTGTTTGGGCATTTCAAGTGTTTTTGCGCTCATTTCTGGCTTGAGTTTCTTAAATAATTTTTAGCCAATGTAAAGCTAGATCACTAGCCCTGGCTGCGTCGGGGCTGAATTCATTATTCATTAACGGCAATTTTCTAGACAGACTTGGCAGAAAGTTCCCCTAAGATCACAATGTGTTTGTACGATATCCTTTAGATCTTCCAAGAGCTATGTAGTGCAAGGGCCTGCCTGATTGGATACAAATTGATTGGGTATATTAGGTAGGTCCTTATATCACTGAGTATAAATCTAAAAGATTGTGCAGTCAGAGTGTAACACCCTTAGTGTTCTCTGCACTATCAAGCCATATTTTGTTTGACAGATTGCTAGTAAACCAGCACAGCAGGACCTTGCTTGTACCAGTCAGTATATAAGAGGACTTCTAAATAAAGACATCAGTTGTTGGTATCTCCTCTGTTATTGCTGGAGATAATGTGGATGTAGAGTCTGATTTTACAGCCAGGTGTACACAGCCCACAAGTTAAGCTTTCCATTAGTGTTTTATGATAGAGTATTATGTACCCCGGTTGAACGGGAAGTGTTGAACATATATACCTTGGGGCACATCATTTTAACTGAAGCACGCTGTAAAACATAAAAACTAATCGCCTCTACCCTCGAATATGTAATTATGTTGAACGTATATGTAAAACATAAAAAAATTATAATAATAATATAATGCTATATGTAAAACATAAGCAATAATTATAATCACATAGTCATATGTGTAAAACATAAAAAATAATAATAATCACATAATCGTATATGAAAAACAGAAATGAATTGCCTATGTCCCAGTGTATGTAAAGCCAAAACTTTTTATTTTTTTGTTTTAGAGCAGAGACGTTAAACCTTCTCTGCTCTAAAACCACCGTCGAATTACATTAGCCTTAAAAAAATTAATTACTGTCATATCTAAAGGGCTTGTCCACTTTTTTTTTTTTAATAAACGTCAACGTCAACTCAGCTTATGACCCTCCCATAGACTGGAAATAAGAGGTCCAACTTTAAAATCTGAAAGTGCAACTTGTTGGGATTCCATGACAATCCAGTTCCATCTGCAGTAGCACTGCTCACAGTAACAAAGCAATCTCAATTGTTTCTCATTTTCAACTCTGTCAATGCAAGTAACAGTAGAGTAGGAAACGTATGAGGAGAGAGACCCCTTTATGTTGCTGCAGGTAAATCCAGAATTGGGGGTCTGATTTTTTGTTAAAAGTAGACAAGTCCTTGAAAGACAATGAGCTGAGTGGTTCATATTGCTGTTGTAGGACTTTGTATTTTAGGGTACTGAAAAGTAGAGAATCCTTTTAAATATATTGTCTTCTTTTTCTGTACTGGAAACATTTGGATGCTGCTGCATTTTTGGTGCTGTACAATGCCAGTGTGTGGTCTCATCCTCATCAGTCATGGGAAATCACATTACTTTAGAGTGTATTGTCATGTAGAGCCACAACAGGAAGTGAGAGGAAATCCCCCCTCCCCCAAACAGAGGAAAGTCCCTGGTGGTCACAAGATTCACCAGAATGGGTGTCCTCATTGGAAGATTTCCTATCTATTCTTCTTCTGATGACAATCCAAAATTTGGGATATTCTTTCACTTTTAGTGATAAGTCACCAGGACAAATAGAGAGGGTGAATCTCCCTGACGGGGACGCAGGCAGCAATAAAAACCTGACCGGTGCTCTAATTCCTCTCCACTCTATACAGAACTAAAACAAACGTTTTGGCTTCAGTTGCACTTTAAGGTATGAGTGAGCTCTAAATCTGACTTGAATAAGTTCTTCTAATGGGAGGGCGATTACAGACTTGAACATTTGGGGTCCCACACAATTTTTTAGATGTAATGATGTAATGTGCAATTTTGGGGTTTGCAAAATTCACTATTTGGTAATGAGCTGAAATTGCTTCAGAGTCATCATTGGTCTCTGAGAAGTGTACTATAAGAATTGGTGAACATAGTATGGGGTGTATTTGTAAACAATGCAGGATTACATGAACATTCATTCTGTGTGAATGAAAGGAAAATGAATGTTAGTATATTTTCTTTCGAGGTTGAATAATATCTGGAAATTGTTTATAAATATACCTCAAATGTGTGGGATGTTGTATTTATTATATGGAGGTCTATTGAAAATGACACTGTCTGGCCAAAGAAAAAGTCACCAGTTGGATTTAGCTAAGCAAAGAGTTCAGAGCCTTGTATTGGATAAGTGTTTTGATCTGGGGTTGCTTCAGTTGGTCAGATCTAGGTTTGGCAAGGTTGTGTCCCCCGAAAATCAGCTGCCTACCTGAATATGCTGACTGACCAGGTTTTTCCATCAATGGATTTTTTCTTCCCTGATGGCACAATGGGCATATTCCAAGATGACAATGTCAGGATTGTGAAGGAGTGGTCCAGCCCATAACCCCATTGAGAATCTTTGGGATGCGCTGGAGAAGACTTTACACAGTGGTCTGACTCTCCCATCATCACTACAAGATCTTGGTGAAACATTAGTGCAACTCTGGATGGAAATAAATGTTGTGACATTGCATGAGCTTATTGAAATGAAGCCACGGCAAATGCATGCCGTAATCTAAGCTAAAGTCGGGCCAACTAATTATTAGAGTGACTTTTTTTGGCCAGGCAGTGTATTAGCAAAAAAAAAAAAGCATAACACCTTTTGAAAAGCATTGGCATCTACGTTCTCAATTGTTTTTCTAATATCTGTAAGTAGGCAATATATAGGCTTAAAAGCTTTACTGTAGTCTGTAGAACGGGTATGAAACCCACATGACCAAAAATCAGTTGGCAGAATTAGTTGGAGGA